CCCCCCTTTTTTCCCCCTTATCCCTCCCTTCCCACCCATCCTCCCCAGTCCCTTTCCCTTTGGTAACTGTTAGTCCATTCTTGGGTTCTGTGAGTCAGCTGCTGTTTTGTCCCATGTTTTCTTAATAGCTCTTCCCTCTTTCTCCTTAGAGCACACCATGAAGAAGGTAGGCTCTGGAGTCAGATTACTAAAATTCAAACCCCAGATTCCTGACTCCCAGCAGTTTTATCAGCTGTGTGAACTTGGGCAACTAAACCTCTCTTTGCCTCAGTTTCCTCAAAGGGAATAATTCTAAAACCTAAGTCATGGGGTAGTTATAAGATTTAAGTGAAATCATCCATGTACACCACTTACAGGCCTGAAACAGTGTGAGTCACTCAAATCAGTGTGTTAACATATTCTGGCAACTTGGATCTCTGCTGATCCAGCGAAAGAAATCCTGCGCAGGCCAACGGAAGCAATCTGCCTGTTGGGTCGTCCTCCTTGAACCTGAGCCTGGTCCCTGACAGACCACGGGACACCACATAGACCTAAGTCGGGATTACTCCTCAGGGTATGGAATCATCCTCATGCGGAGAACAGGATCAGAGGGCACACCAACGAGAGAAAGGGGCACCCCATCCACATGGGTCCAGATCTGGGTTCCTGGACTATGTGCACTACCAGTCTGCTCCTGGAAACTTAGATTCTAATTTTGAGGAAAACGTTCCCCTGTGGGGATGGTATGGAGCCGGGGGGCCTGAAGCATGCTTGGGGAAGAAACAATAGCTGAAAGTTGTTCAAATTTGATGAAAATACAAACTTTTCAAAAAAAGCATTTAAATTGGAAAGGAAGAAGAACTATTTATTTGCAAATGACATTGTATAATTAGAAAAGCCTAAGGACTCCACAAAAAAAGCTACTGGAACTAGTTGCAGAATACAAGATCAGTTTCACCACAATCAAGTTTTCTACATTCTCGAAAACTGGATATTGAAATTTACAGTAAAACCATATAGTGCTCATCAGCAGGCAAAAACATGAAATATACGGGGATAAATTTAACAAAACATGTGCAAGACCTGCACACTAAAAATGTTAAATCACTGCCAAAAGAGACTGAAGCCCTAAATAAATAGCTATTCCATGTTCATGAAGAAGACTCAATTATTGTTAAAATGTCAGTTCTCCTTATATCCCAGCAGAAAGTTCTTATTTGACAGGTTAACTCTAAAATTTATACAGAAATACATAGGAAGAACAAAGCACAAACAGACCTGTTTTCATTTTAGTATAAAACTAGTTTACTAGACAGTGTGACTGGTAAAGGATAGACACATGTATCAATGAAACAGTTGAGACCCCTATGTATGTGGTCAACTGATTCTCAACAAAGGTGCCAAAGTAAGTCTTCAGCAACTGGTGCTGAAGCAACTGGATATCCACATGAAAAAAATGAACCCTGGCCCTCACCTTTCACCATAGACAAGTATTAATTTGATATGGATCACAGATCTAAACAAAAAAGCTAAAACTATAAAACTTCTAGAAGAAAACAGCAGAATCTTTATAATCTTAGAGAAAGCAAAGATATAGACAATGGAAAAAAACCACTAATCATAAAAGATAGCTGGAACTTCAAGAAAATGTAAAATTTCTGTTATCCCAAAGACACCACTAAAAAAGTGAAAATATTCATGATGCATGTATCTATCAAAGAACTTGTATTCAGAATATATAAAGAACCCTTGCAACTCAATAATACAACCGGAAGATTTGAACAGAACACTAAGAAGATACAGAAACAGCAATAGCACATGAAAAGATACTCAATCTTATTAGTCATTAGGGAAATGCAATTAAACCCACAGCAAGATACCACTACATCTAATATTTTTCATTGTTGGCAAGGATGTGGAGCAATTGGAATTCTCATGCAAGAGAATACCACTTTGGAAAACAATTTGGCAAATTTTAAAAAAAGATCAGCATATACTTATTTATCATATGACCCAGCAATTTCATTCCTAGGTATTTAACCAAGAGAACAAAAACAGGTCTACACAAAAACTTGGACACAAATGTTCACAGCAGTTTTTAAAATTCATTTTATTATCAATAATTACAATTACATGAATAACATTATGGGTACTAGACTACCCCTTCACCAAGTCCCCCCCCAAATCCCATTACAGTCACTGTCAATCAGCATAGTAAGATGCTGTAGACTAACTACTTGCCTTCTCTGTGTTGCACATCCCTCCCTATGCCCGCCCCCCACATTATACATGCTAATCGTAAGGCCCCCTTTCTTTTTCTCTGCCCTTATCCCTCCCTTCCCAACCCTCCTGCCCAGTCCCTTTCCCTTTGGTAACCATTAGTCCATTCTTCGGTTCTGTGAGTCTGCTGCTGTTTTGTTCCTTCAGTTTTTCTTT